AAACTAAGATAAGGTGTCTACTTTCCAAGAATTTTTACACATGATTATTCTCCTAAATTTTGTTGCCTATATAAGAAATGGGGTCTCCCTCACTCACCCTTCTGACATTCAATGAATGAACTACGACAACTGTGAAGAATTCTAGCTCTACACTGAGAGGCGAGCATAGGATGACCTATGTTTCAAAGCCCACCATCTTTCAAAAAATAAGGAGAAAAGATACATTGTTCTCACTGGGCTACTCTGCTTATTAAGTAAAAGGCCAGGCTTGACATTTGTCTCCTGGTCATTTCCTCTGACGCTCCACCATCCCATATTATAGCAACCGGGCACATGTGGTTATTAAGTACACATTTTCATTAATTAAATTTTAAAAATAGTTCCTCAATTGCAATAGCCAAATGTCAAGTGCTTAAGAGACACATTTATCAAGAGATGACCATGGAACAGTGCAGACAGAAAACGCACCCACCGTCACAGGGTTTTAACAGTCTAAGGTGATAGCAAAAACCTCTCGCTCTGGGGTGCAGTCACAAAGCCAGATCTTTAAGACATCAGCTCAGCACCATGAATGACTCAACACACCCCATGAGCTCTCTGGGGTTAGACAGCTTTGGAGATGATGTCACTAGAGACAAACGCCCACAAATATTTCTCACACGCTGATGATTTTCACTGACTCGGCCAGAAGAGAGGATTTCACCCCATTCTCCTTGTTTATTCTACCACAATCACCCAGAGCCTGTGAAGTGACAGGAAGGCTGGAAAGAAAACCAACTCAAAAATTGGACAAGCAATAGAAACTGGGCAAAGATGCAGCCAATAAACCCCGATATCAATTTGGACTTTTCAGGACCAAGGACAGCAGCTCTGAGTTGCAAGACTTTGTGTGACATAGACAAGTTATTTACTCTCCCAGAGCTCCAGTTTTTGTGGTCATAAAAAAGGATTGCAGTTGGTTGCTAGAAAGACAAATAAACTCATGTGTGAAAAGAACTTAATACAATACCTGACACATGGCAGACTTTCCAGAAATGTCTGCTGGTGCTGCCCAGATATGGGAAGCAAGCAGAAGCAGAGAAGGTTATCTGACCCTGTGAGCAAACCATCTCTTTAATCTGTGCTTCCATTTTTATTTGATCTGCCCTGGTTTATACTATACATTCACTTTTTTCAGCTTTACTGCCTATCATAAGGCTGTATACATGAAAAGTTGCATATCATAAAGTTATAAATATGAAAGGATGTCTGAATTATCACATAACATAAAAATATTTTGCTTGTCTTATCTCTTGAATGAGATGTGACACCTCTCTCACATGGATTGTTGATATCAAAGTAGGTACATAGGTGAGAGATTTGTTGATATCAAAGTAGATACATATGTGAGAGATTTGTGGGGAAAAAATGAAAAAGAACTGCCTTAATGCATGACTATGCTCTTTCTTACACTCTATGTCCTACAGGAAAACTTCAGGTTAATATAAGCACTTAACCTACCCCTTGACAAAAACAAGCATAAGTCAGATTAAACCACATGCTTCTGGGGCCAAGGGTGTGCAAAGCCCCCTTCCCTCCTCTCAAGAGGTTAGAAGGCTTTTTGGAAACAAAGGAAGCATTAATCCTTGGTCAGCAGTAGTTTGCATTTGTTAAGACAGCAAATTCGGTTTGCTGTTTTCTATTTATTTTTATAGCTGAGTTGAAATGCTTATGGATGACTTGAAAAACCATCCAAAAGTGGCACCTGACCCATTCACTGCTGCAAGGAGGGCTATCAAGGAAACTATAAAATGCTACAAGTCAAGGAGACACCATCTTTAAGTCTTGCTCTTTCTACTTTAAATAGAATTTGAATAAATCCTGTATCTAAAATTAAAATGTTGCCTTGCAAGTCACGTATCAGTCTTAATTCTCTGGCATTCTATGAGTCCACTGGCTGAACTGACTCATCTCTTGTTCTTGTCACAGAGGGAAAAGAGATTAATAAAAAGTGAAAGTCTTTCCAAATGAAGATGTGGAGAAAAGTGCCAAAATGTAGGTCTTGGCCTTTATTAACAACTTAGAAACTTCATTCCAGTGGGGAAAAAAATTGCAGAAATTGCAAGTGACACAGAAATGACGATCTGAACAAAAAGTGCACACTCACTGTGTCATTAAAAGGCAGAGCACTTACTGCCAACTGCATAAGTGGCATAGTTTTTACCTCGCTTAAGAGCAGATGTCTGAATTATACTGACATTTGAAATGAGATAGGCTGTCAGGAATGCTGGAATCTTCCAGATCAAAGTCGAGGGAATTTTTCTTACAGCTACTTTCCTCTGACACACTCTAAAATTGGGGATTCAATTAGAAGGTAGCCTCTAAACATTCAATTGTTCACAGCTTTCTTCCCTAACAAACCTGCAACAGTCCCTGTGGGTCTTGTGGTCACCCTCAAAAAGTCAGTCTTCAACTCCTACTTGATTGGAACCATATGTAAGCCCTGGCCTGGAGTGAACTACTTCATTCATCGATTCATCCATCCATCCATTTATGCACCCACCATTTATTTACCCATTTACCCATATATCCATTATTCATTTTATTGTAACACGTATCACTAGGTGTTGGGAATAAAACAAAACCATATCCTAATACAGGTCCTCTCTGTTACTTTCCCTCATCCCTGGGATTTAACCTGGACAATTGAAAAAGTTCACCTCCAGAGATGAATTTTGGTTGAGAAAGCTGGATTTTGTGACATTTTCTAAATCTTCTGCTGAGTTCCTAGCATATCAGAAAGTTCCTGCTTGAAGTATCTCTCTTCTGCAAGTTTCCAATTTTATTCATGAAAGATAACTGCATATTCTATGTACAAAGAAAAGTTAGGACTTCCACACGAACCTCCATGTCTTATTTTCTTACCCCTTGCCCAGAAAGGCCATGGATTGTTGCTACTGTTTTTCCTAGAGCCTTCTCTTGGGTCCACAGAAACATAAAAGTTCTCTTTGAAGACAACCTAAGGAATGGGGGAAGAAAATGATTTGCAAATGATATGACTAGGAAGGGTTTAATTTCCAAAATATACTAAGAGATCACAGAGCTCAATATTAAAAAAATAAATAAGTCAATCAAAAAACAGCCTTTCGCTACCAGCCAGTTTGAGAGAAGAAAATCTCTCAACCTGGGGCTTCTCTAGCCACTGCAACATGATCTCCAGATAACCTAAAAACTCTGAAATTTTCCTTTTGGGTCCCACCCCTCTGTCCTTTTCATGCCTTTGTCTTCGTCCCACTCAAAACAGCCCCTGCCCTCGGCGTCCAGCAGACGCAGTGTCCCCCTTGCTTCTCTCGTCTGGGTACCTCTGGGATTAGCTCGAGCCCTTTCTCCCTTTGGGACCTTCCATCTCAAAGGTCCTTTTTGACCCCACCCTTCAGGACCCTGCTACCTCCTCCCCCAGTAAGTTGCTGAATACATATAAGGAGTGTGAAAGTGGGAAGAGCAAGGTCCTTGAGCCTACACTGCAGAGCCTGTGCTCCAGCTCCAGGATGCCAAGCCCTAGGGTGCTAAGCACATCGCTCTGCCCTCATTAAGTACATCTTATTACAGCGCATCATTTTCAACGGCCTACAGCTCTCTGCAGGCTTGCCAGCTAGCACAGCGGTGAAGCGTCTGTGCACCAATGCAGGAGACACAGGGCACTTGGAATCGATCTCTGGGTCTGGAAGATCCCCCAAAGGAGGAAAGGGCAACCCACTCTGGTATTCTTACCTGGACAATTTCATGGACAGGGGAGCCTGGCGAGCTACAGTCCATGAGCTCTCAAAAGTCAGGCAGGACTTAGCACCTGGGACGCACGCGTGCACAGCATCTCTGCCTCTTCAGCGCGTCTCGTGTGTGGCTGCCTCTTCCAGGGTGGCCCCTCCCATCGGCTCCTGTGCCTGCCTTTCTCTGGCTCAGACGGCTCTTCCCCCGGGAGCTCTTCCCGAGACCCTAAGTCTGCGTTTCCGGCCCCTGTCTGTGATCTCTTGACATTCTCTATTTGCCCTTTAAATGTACTTGTCACACAGGGTAATTATCTTCTTTAAAATTCACTTTCCCTCACTAGCTCTTCATTTCAAGAAAGATAGATATCTTATCCACACTATATTCCCCAGAGCTTGGCACTACAGTGGAATAAGCAGTCAATGAACGTTGAGTGAATAAAAATACAAATGGGACACTCTACTAATTCACCTCTAAACTACACAAAATTGTTGTGGGGATTAATTTATTATATTTTAAAATATGCCAAGTGTGGTGCTTAGAGAAAAACAGCTATTCAGCTTTGTCTAGCAAATACTAGTGGCTCAATAAGTATCACTTATTCTCTCACCCACACGCATTTGTGGCTGTGTGAATGAGCGAGTGCTCAGTGATCTAGCTGTGTTCGACTCGTTGCAACCCCATGGACTGTAGCCCACCAGGCTCCTCTGTCCATGGGATTTCCCAGGCAAGAAGAGTGCAGTAGGTCGCCGTTTCCTCCTCCAGGGGATCTTCCCGACCAGGGATTGAGCCCAAGTTTCCTGTGTCTCCTGCAGTGCAGGTGGATTCTTTACCACTGAGCCACCTGGAAAACTGGATTTATGGCTTCCATGGACTAAACTTATTACTTCCTCCATAAAAATGCATTTCACATGTACATGTACCATTCTAGAAATATGACATCTTCATTCCCTGAACAGAATTAAAGACATGGCAGGCAACCAGTTTAACACCTAGGCAGGCAGTCTTTCTGCCGCTTGAAGCACAATGGATAGACCCCTCTTTCTGCCTCCATGGGGATCACGCTTCGCCAGGGCAGACCTGCCTGGCGTGAATGGCAGAGCTCCGGAGCACCAGGGGGAACGCCGCCTGGGAAGAGGTAACAGGTGGCCCATAGCTCGGAGGACAACAGCTACCCAGCAAGTGAACTGATGCCCACTCCTGCGCCCTGACGTCCCCTGGACTCGAGTGTCGCCCCTCGCCCCTTTCCTTCCCAGTCTGTCCTGGCCACATCAGGCCCCCTCCTCTGCACCACGAGCCTGGTCCTCCACGCTGACCGTGTCTGCCTGGAAGGCAACCGGGACGGGGCCGGGAGCAGCGGCAGTGAAGGAGAGCAGCAGGCTGCATCAGCAGGCTTCAGCGCCCACCGCGAGCTGATGCTTCCTCCCGGGTTCCTCGCCTCTGGCGTCTTCCCCCTCTGCCTCTTCCACCAGCTGCGCTCGTCCCGTGCTTTGCCCTCACCTCCCGTGACCCATCTTTCATCCTTCCTCCTCTGCTGAGGCTGTTCCCACCTGCCTGCCGTTACTTCCCTTCAATCCTTCCCTCTCGGCGACACTCACGTTCACTCCAAGTGCTACGTGGTAAACACACTGAACAATAGGAAAGATAAAGCTAGCAACAGAGAAGGGCATACAACTGAATCTTTTCCCTCTCAGTGTATCTTTCCTTCTAGGGATCTGAAAAGGATCGCCTGAGTTGTACCCTTGTAAAATTAGCCTAACACCATCACCTTCACTACCTAAAGGCACAGCCCTAGTACTCTAAGACTCATGCCTTAGCTGACTTCAGAACTGGGACCGTATCTTTTCTTTAAGCAGGGCTAAGTAGCAAATACCATCGAGCTGGAATAATTCCTCACCCTTTTAGGAATTTGAGGAAAAGAAACCTTAAAAGACCCTCATACAAGTGAGGGTCTTTTCCTCCTCTATTGGCGTTTTGACATTTTACACCTCTACTTTGGTCCCTGGGGCTTCCCAGGTGGCACTAAGGGTAAAGAAACTGCCTGCCAATGCAGGAGACATAAGAGACATGGACTTGATCCCTGGGTTGGGAAGATCCCCTGGAGAAGGACATGGCAGCCCACTCCAGTATTCTTGCCTGGAGAATCCCAAGGACAGAGGAGCCTGGAGAGCTACAGTCCATGGGGTCACAAAGTGCTGGACATGACGGAAGCGACTTAGCATGCACACACACTTTGGCCCTTAGTTTTAGGTATGACTGCATCATTATCATTTTTTAATTCACAGTGAAATGCTTGGTCACATACTTTTTGCATTCTGGGGAAACACCTTTCTGAAAAGCTTCTTAAACTTTCACTTAGATTTCCTGCGTTTGTCTTGCAGCATCAACGCACACATTCTGCACCAAACCCCTTCACTAAGCCTTGTCCCCGCTACTCTCTCCTGATCACAAGGCTCAGCGTGGCGGCCTCTGCGCACCTGCCCTCCTCCCCAGGGCACCGTGCCGTGAGCCCCATCCTCCCCACAGGCCGTGGGCGTCAGGACAGCTGCTTCTGCCTCATCTGTGAAGCCCGCTTTCTCCGTCACCTATCACCTCCCCAGTTTGTGCCACGCTGGACAAGGCTGCAGGTGGAGCTTCTGCTGGAGGCTTACAGAGGAAACATACCACCAGACTCTTCCCCCAGGGTTTTCACGATCCACCGAAGTTACGTGGCTGTTTCTACCACCTGCCACCTCATCTGGGCCCTCTCCTGAAAGGGAGGAAAATGCAGGCTCGGGAAACATGATAAGCTTTTCTCTCCTTCATCGAGTTCCCTGAGACCCTAGCCTATAAAAGTGCTCTGATTTAGGGGCCCAGACGTGGCTCTTGATCAGGTAAAGGAGGACAGGTGGAACTGAGAGATCTTTCCATATCTGGATTTAGGATCACTGCCTCAATGTAAGAGGTCACTTTTTAGGCTTGACCATGACTGGTACCTCTGTTCCTCACCACCAGGCATGAGACTTATGGTTCAGCTTTGAAACAGAAGGCTACAAGCCAACCAGACAGAAGATGACTGCGGAGATTCACCAGCCTCATATGTTTAAAATATTATGTATCGTATGTGTAAAGGGCCTGGAATGGATATAGCTCATAGCAAGTAGACTCTCGGGTCCAGGGGAAACTGAAAGGAACAAGGATGGAAGATCCTGCTTTTGAATGAAGCCCTGAAGGGATAATAAAGTTTGATTACACAGACATGGGCAAAAGCATTCCAAGCAGAGGGAGCAGTCTAAATTGCAAGCAGGACATGAACTGGGATCCAGATCACGAGAGGGTCAGGGTAAGGTCTTTGCACTTTATTCTACAGGCACCGAGGGACACTGAAAGCAGATCTGTGAGCGAGGAAAAGACGCTCTCAGAGCTCTGAATGAAAGACCAATATGATGGCAATTATAGAATGCAACTTGTATCATTATCTTAAATAGATATGGAAACACTCTGACGTCAACAGGCAAGAGCCCAGAAGAGAATGATACCTAAGTAAGACATTCTCCTCCCTTCCTAATTACTGCCCACTGCCAAAATAAAAAGCCATCCAAAAACACCAGACCCAACAGTAACAGGCATATAAAAACTGTCATATACACATAAATGATAACTTACTAAAAAATAATCAATCATTCTTCATCAATTAATATGCCTTCTAAAAGGAGCTCTACCTTTTACTACATACTTTATTAAAAGTATGGTGCAATTATTTTCAGTTTTAACACCTTTATTAAGAAAACAGATTAACTGGGAGATTGCGATATATGTATACATGCACACTAGTGACACCATGTATAAAACAGGTAACTAATAAAAACCCAGGCTTCCCAGGTGATGCCAGTGATAAAGGACCTCTCTGCCAATGCAGGAGACATAAGAGACATGGGTTCGATCCCTGGGTTGGGAAGATCCCCTGGAGGAAGGCATGGCCACCCACTCCAGTTTTCTTGCCTGGAGAATCCCATGGACAGAGGAGCCTGGTGGGCTGCGGTCCACAGGGTCACGGGGCACAGAGAACTCTCCTCAGTGCTCTGTGGTGACCTAAATGAGAAGAAGATTTAAAAAGAGGGGCTAAATGTGCACAAATAGCCGATTCCTTTTGCTGTACATCAGAAACTAACCCAGCAGTGTAAAGCAACTACATCCCAATAAAAATTACCTTTAAAAATGAAATTATTTCAGAAGTAACCTCACTACTTCCCGAACAGTTTAAAACATGCACTGTATTACTTGTCTAAACCACTTCTAGCGAGTTAATCCAAAGTCTAATAATTATAATGAAAGCAGACAATCTCATGCCTGTTGTCAGCAGACTTAAATAAGACCAACTAAAAGAAGATTTCACAGTCCTAAGATGTTTTAACAAATGTACATGAGACACCCACCAGTGTAGTGTGCAGTATCACTATAAATATTTCACACTTAAGTGTGATTTGTTTAAAATACCCTGCACTGATGTTTGACATTGTCTGAGCAGGCTTTGAATCATTTCTAATCCTAATCATCTATCATCATATCTAATTTAATCCTAATCATATCTAATAGCTTTGGTAATTGCCAGAGCAGTTCCTAGTCCCTAGTGAAGTCACTATTAGCCAGGAGCCCATAAAGGCATGTTCCGAGGAGGCTTTCAAATGTGGCAGCCGTTTGGTTCAAGCTTTAGTTTTAGACTCATGCCATCTCATTCTGGACATCCCAGAAAAGACTTTTCTTTTATTTTGAATCTGCTAAAAATGCAATGGTGATTAAAACTAATAATCCTCCAGAGCACTAAATACCATCACCCTAATTCCAAAACCAGACAAAGATGCCACAAAAAAAGAAAACTACAGGCCAATATCACTGATGAACATAGATGCAAAAATCCTTAACAAAATTCTAACAAACAGAATCCAACAACATATTAAAAAAATCATACATCATGACCAAGTGGGCTTTATCCCAGGAATGCAAGGATTCTTTAATATCTGCAAATCAATCAATGTAATACACCACATTAACAAATTGAAAGATAAAAACCATATGATTATCTCAATAGATGCAGAAAAAGCCTTTGACAAAATTCAACATACATTTATGATTAAAACTCTCCAGAAAGCAGGAATAGAAGGAACATACCTCAACATAATAAAAGCTATATATGACAAGCCCACAGCAAGCATCACCCTCAATGGTGAAAAACTGAAAGCATTTCCCCTGAAATCAGGAACAAGACAAGGGTGCCCACTCTCACCACTGCTATTCAACATAGTTTTGGAAGTGTTGGCCACAGCAATCAGAGCAGAAAAAGAAATAAAAGGAATCCAGATAGGAAAAGAAGAAGTGAAACTCTCGCTGTTTGCAGATGACATGATCCTCTACATAGAAAATCCTAAAGACTCTACCAGAAAATTACTAGAGCTAATCAACGAATACAGTAAAGTTGCAGGATATAAAATTAACACACAGAAATCTCTTGCATTCCTATACACTAACAATGAGAAAACAGAAAGAGAAATTAAGGAAACAATACCATTCACCATTGCAACAAAAAGAATAAAATACTTAGGAGTATATCTACCTAAAGAAACAAAAGACCTATACATAGAAAACTATAAAACACTGATGAAAGAAATCAAAGAGGACACAAACAGATGGAGAAATATACTGTGTTCATGGATTGGAAGAATCAATATTGTCAAAATGGCTATACTACCCAAAGCAATCTATAGATTCAATGCAATCCCTATCAAACTACCAATGGTATTTTTCACAGAACTAGAATGAATAATTTCACAATTTGTATGGAAATACAAAAAACCTCGAATAGCCAAAGTAATCCTGAGAAAGAATGAAACTGGAGGAATCAATCTGCCTGACTTCAGACTATACTACAAAGCCACAGTCATCAAGACAGTATGGTACTGGCACAAAGACAGAAATATAGATCAGTGGAACAGAATAGAAAGCCCAGAGATAAATCCACGAACCTATGGTCACCTTATCTTCGACAAAGGAGGCAAGGATATACAATGGAAAAAAGGCAACCTCTTTAACAAGTGGTGCTGGGAAAACTGGTCAACCACCTGTAAAAGAATGAAACTAGAACACTTTCTAACACCATACACAAAAATAAACTCAAAATGGATTAAAGATCTAAATGTAAGACCAGAAACTATAAAACTCCTAGAGGAGAACATAGGCAAAACACTCTCTGACATAAATCACAGCAGGATCCTCTATGACCCACATCCCAGAATTTTAGAAATCAAAGCAAAAATAAACAAATGGGACCTAATCAAACTTAAAAGCTTTTGCACAACAAAGGAAACTATAAGCAAGGTGAAAAGACAGCCCTCAGATTGGGAGAAAATAATAGCAAACGAAGCAACAGACAAAGGATTAATCTCAAAAATATACAAGCAACTCCTCCAGCTCAACTCCAGAAAAATAAATGACCCAATCAAAAAATGGGCCAAAGAACTGAACAGACATTTCTCCAAGGAAGACATACAGATGGCTAACAAAC